CTCACCATAACGAAGACACAGGTAATTGAGATTCGTAGATCCTGGAACGTGTATAGAGGGAACCTGCATGTATAAATCCCAGATGTTTAGAATTCAGAATACGGCCAATATGTCTGATATAAATCTTGCTCAGTAATTATAGGCTGTTGTTGAGCTACATGATAATTATAGAACACAGGCGCGTCTGAGAACACCATGCCAAGAAATTATGGAATCGCAGCACACAGGATGAAGAATGTGTTGGGTGGGGTGTGGTGGGATGGGGTTGGGTTGGATAGGGAGGGGTGAAGTTGGATAGGTGGGGTGGGGTAAGCGATGGGTAAGGTGGAGTTGGGTGGGGTTAGGTACGGAGGGATAAGGTGAGGAGGGGTGGGTTAGGTGAGGAAGGATAGGGAGGGTGATAACAGCCTCTAGCGTAAAAAAAAATAATCTGTTATTTATATACTCACCCGCACCTCCGACAATCTCTTTCCTCACACCTTTATCTTCCTCAGTTCACAACCTTCTCACCTCGTCTCTCACAGATCTAAGGCCAATTCTCACGCCATCTACAAACTGCATTCACATTATCAGCTTTAGGGTGACCTGGAGACACGGAAGGACATTGGTAAAACACCCTAATGATTCACGATCCACCACTATTAACCACTAAGTTCATCCCCTTCGTCAATCTTCGTCCTTCAAAGATTTAGGGTAAAGTTTCCCTCCTCGTATACCAACACTGTGTCGTCAGCTTCACGGTGGCCAGAAGACAAGAGACAAGTTGCCAAAAACACCTTGAAATTCAGAGAAAGGTTCAGCCATCGCGTCCTCTTGGTATTCGCAGTCCGCCGCTCATCTGCTTGCTGTCAGGAACGAGCCAGTAACCTATGTGACGGCGACGCGGCCAAACTACGCCATTACACAACCACGTCACAAGCAGACCAGGTGTTGGTCAGCCAGGTGTTGCCTCCCAGACACGACGCCACTGAGGGACGAGTTGGAATGTTGGTGTTGGTGGCTCGTCAGAGGTTTTCGAGAACCCTCCTTCACGACCCTAGACACACATGATTGCACCCATGACAATTAACTACAAGGTCAGACAGCCTCAATATCAATCTCATCCTGGACAGAGCACCACAACCTGACCCTCCACTTAACATCTTAATTACTCATAAACCTCAAGTAAGCTTTAATATCAACCAAAGTAATAACACCAGTAGCCTTTCTTTTCTTTTTTTCTCCATCATTAATCTCTACCTTACATTGATTCTAGACCTTCTCTTCCCTCCAACTTCAGTCCACTCTACACTATATATTCCTCCTCTTCTCCATCTTTACCATCGCTTCTTCCGCCTATGATCTTCTACCTCTTATGTTGCTGCCTCCTCCCCCTACACCACTTCCCGCAACCTACCCCACCGGCGCCCCCTTCAGCACCGTCGAGTACCTCCTGAATAAACAACTCGTCGCATATTTTCCTTTCTCAGGTCGTCCTCCGAGACTCAAGACCTGGTAAGAGTTGCTGCAGATTTTTTTCTCAAAGTTTCAATCACCGCCATCACATCACACTTGATCGGATTATTTAACTTTTCAGTGGGACGAGATCACTTCCCTGGCGAGACAGTTCACGTGGGAGGAGTTTCAATGATGAAGAAGACGCGGGACTGTTCCCCTCCACAACACCTAAGACGGTCACGGAGTAGTCTAGGTGCCACTGCTCACCTGGCGACTACGGCAGGAGGTGTGTCCGGGGCCAGACGAGGAGTGAAGACGTCTGGTGAGGGCACCTCCCTTCCTGACGGGGGGCCCTTGGCCACCACCAGGACCTCGACACCCAGGCTCTCCACCTCCTGTATATGGCACACTGGGAAAAAGAACTTGTACTACGAGAGGTCCTCCAATAACAGCGGCCCAGGTAAAGGACCTATCAGAATTGGGATCCTCGACACGTTAACTTTCCTGTTGTATGTGTGGTATAACCCCACACCCCCTAGCCGCGCCTCCTAGCAACCCATTACGATTTCTTCATAGCCCTTAGCCTCTCCTAACCTTCTCTTTTTCATAGACACCTAACACTACTTTTGTAAGCAAGAATGAGTCAACTTGTACCTTCACCTTCTCACAGTGGCGCCGGGAATATGTGAGCTCTAAATAAAAGTTTGAATCAGTTTCGTTATCTGGTTAGCAAGTCAAACACACAGCCAGACACCAGTGATTAAATCCCCACAAATGATGTTTATTTCGCTCCATGGTTACACAAAACTACCGATAATATGCCATAGAGGATTTGAGTGTGATCCAGAACCCTCCTCGCTCAAAGACATTATCACATTCCATTAGCATTTCACATCTCTTCACATTCTCTTCGTCACCGTGTTTTGTGTCTCTCACCAAGGAAGAATGTTGACGAAAACCCACAGTTCTTATTCAGACGGTGTATGTTAAATAAAACAATCAATAACATCATGGCTTTTCTTTACCTCACTGGTGTTAAGTCCCTAGCTGGTCAGGTTGCCAAATTCTACCAACTTGTCTTTGGTAAATATTACAGAGTTGGGACTGGTACTTTCTGACCCTATCACATGAATCACCTGGATATTAAAACAACAATAATATCTTTGATCTCTTGCTTAAAGTAGGTAAATTAGGACACCGTTAACGACATCCTTAATTTTATTTATTTTTTTAGATGGAAGAACCAAAATATAAACAAAAGCAATTTATTAGCCTGTGTGTGTGTGTGTGTGTGTGTGTGTGTGTGTGTGTGTTCCATAGGTGTGTGTGCATTTCGTATGGTATAATTATCATTCTTTCCGTCTCACCATTCACCTGTCGCTCTCAGGTGTTGGTTTAACTCCTTCATTATGTAAATCTATGGACGGCAGGAGGTCAGTGCGTGCTTGTGTGCGGGTGCGTTTGTGTGCTCAGTGGGTGTGTCGTGTTTGAGGGTGTAGTATGGGTGTTGGGTGTAAGGGTGGGACCTAATCAACGCTTCTGTGCGGGAACGTGACGTTTTGCTTGTGTATCAGAGTCAAGTTACCACTCCTGTACCCGGCCAAGTTGACGCTGGGCGAGGCGAGTTAGTCTGAGCTAGAGTTCACCCGTGGAAAAAACAAAACAAGGGTCACATGAAGATTAGGCACCCTAGCTTATTATACCTGATGGTTAAACACCTTAACCTAACCTAACCTAACTTGACCAGACCTAACCTAACCTAATTTGGTCAGACCTAACCTAACCAATCTTTACCTAACCAAACCAAACCTAACCTAATATACTTGGGTGATTAATCTTCATGTGATCCATAAAAAACTGCCCATATACACATAGATATAAGCAGACCACATAGAGACTCGAATTAAAAGGCTCTATTTACCTGTTTCTATAGAGAGAATGAACTATAATGGTCTCCCAGTCAGCCATTTCTTTCAATCTAATTAAAAAAAAAAATAAAAAAAAATAAAATCATCATATACATAACATTTTTATCTTTAAAGTCTACGCCGATTCTAATGATAAAAAATAGTTGATATATATTGGTTGCGTTAAGTCACATTTAAAGAGAAAATTCCCTCTAGTATGAAGATCATCCATCAGTTAGGTCACCAAAGACAGAACTTTAATTAAATACAAACAACAATTTCGGAAGTGAATATTGCATAATAGACACCGAAGGGATACTATTACAGACAGACAGACAGACAGAGATGAATCTATAGCCCTCTACCAAACGAAACTGATAGGGGGGATAAAAGTCTTCTGTGGGTTGACCCTTGACGTGTTGCGGACGTGATGAAGCGACCACCAGTTGTTGACATAGTGAGGGAGGGAGAGAGGGAGAGAGAGAGGGTGGGAGGGAGAGGGAGAGGAGGGAGGGAGAGGAGGGAGGAGAGCACCTTCCTTCTTTATTATCTGGATTATTAGTGAACAAACAATAAGTGCGGGGCAGGGGTGCTGCTGACGTCACTGGGGCTCACCTCCGACTCTCTCTCTCTCTCTCTCTCTCTCTCTCTCTCTCTCTCTCTCTAATAAGTCTTTGTTGTGGTTCCCGAGTGTTGATTATTCTGTGGCTTGATGAACCTCCTCATAGTTAACAATATAAATGAACACCCTCATGAAGTGTCAGTCACGAGGGTATTGTAACTGGGAAGAGGAGGAGGAGGAAGAGGTGGAGGAAGAGGGAGGAGGTGGAAGAGGTGAGGAGGAGGTAGGGAAGGTGGACGAGGTGGTGGAAGGAGGTGGAGGAGGAGGTGAAACAGAAGGTGGAGAAAGAAGTGGAGGAAGATGAGGAGGTGGAAGAAAGAAATGGGAGGATGGGGTGGGAAGGAGGGTGAGGTAGAAGGAAGGTGAGATGGGAGGAGAGGGAGGGGTAAAGAAGGGACGGGAGGGGTAGGAAGAGAGGAGAAGGGAATGGAAAAAGGAGGCAGATATATGGAGGAGGAGGAGGAGGTGTAAGAAGAAGTTGAGAGAGAGAAGTGTGTGATGCTTATAGGTAGAGTGAGGTGTGTTAGGAAGGTGCCGGTGTGTGTCCATAAACTTACACTCTTTTAGGTGGGCGAGCCGTCACACTCTGGTCACCCTTTATGATCATTTACATCAGGTATAGTGTGTGTGTGTGTGTGTTTTGTGTGTGTGTGTGTGTGTGTGTGTGTGTGTGTGTGTGTGTGTGTGTGTGTGTGTGTGTGTGTGTGTGTGTGTGTGTTGTGTGTGTGTGTGTGTGTGTGTTTGTTATGTATCTCACCTCTCCCCTTACCACCCTTCTCATCCTCCGTCACCCGTCCCCCATCACTAACTTCACCCCTTCGTCACCCGTCCCATCACCAGCACGCCCAGTTTTCGTCATCCATCCCATCACCCCTTCGTCACCCGTCCCATCACCACCAACATCAGCATTCGTCATCCGTCCCATCATCTCCCCCCAAAAATCGTCCCATCGCGACCCACTCTTCCATCTCCCATCACCTAAACCCTTGAGCTGACCACAACTTAAGGCGAGATATGAAACACTACAAAATTACCTGTCGTTGGCAGTAGCAGAGTCGGTGATAGTAGTGGTGGCAGAGACGGTGGCAATAGCGTTAGTGGCAGTATCGATGTTGGTAGCGGCAGCAGAGGCGTTGGTAGTGGCGGCGGTGGTGTTGGTAATGACGGCGGTGGCGTTGGTAGTGGAGGCGGTGGCGTTAGTGGTGGCGAAGCGGTGGGTGTTCAGGGGATTCGAGTCCATCAGAGGCCCAAAAAAGACCATTAATGACCGGCCTAATGTGTCCAGTGTTTGTGAGGCGGACAGCACCCGGCCCACCGCTCACCAACACCCACACAGCCACACCCTCACAAACTATTCATAACGGTGTCACTTAAAGAAAAGTAAGACCTATTCTCAAAATCTTTCTTCGTCACGGAATATAACACCGTTCGTCGCTAACTTTTCTTTTTCAACACAAACATAAACACACAGCAGGATTTCCAGAGATCCATTAGCCAAACCTTCCCTCAGACTGGGGTGTGAGAAAGTATCTAACAACACGTAAGCTGCACCTTATATGATTCCGAAATTACACCAACACTGTTGTAACTGGAAGCTTTCACTCTTCACCAGCTCAAGGAAAAAAAAATTACGAAATTTGAACACTCCGGGTCAAGAAGTGAGGCCGCGACCCTGCAGGAGAGCGAACGAGGCAGCACTAGGCGAGAGCCGTCCCTGGAGGCAGGCAGGCCGCGGTAAACATCATTTCAAAGTTGTTTGGTTTGAGCATAGTTTTGTTAATCAGGTGAGCGGCCATTATCCCCGTGTAGGCCCGGGCGTGACCCCTGACCCTCCGTCAACATGTGGCACCATAATGGTTGTAGTTGTCACACTCACTGATCACCTTCGGGGCTCCACAGCGACTGACTCACCTGCACGACTTTCATGATATAAAGCTGAATTTCTTATCTATATTTTTTTTTCTCAATTAATTACAATCATTTTCAGATACATCAATCAGTACATTATCTTAAACAAACACTCATAAAGATTAATGTGTCATAGTTGTTGATGTCAGTACTGGCACTGAGCCACGCCTACTGTGACGTCATAGCACTCAGGTGTATCGCTTACTTGCTAATTACAAGTGTGTCTCTTGCCCTAGAAAACTAAGAATCCGCTGAATACTAAACCAATTTTACTGCCTAACACCACCACGAATACAAAACAAGTTTTATATAAATAGTTTATCAATAAATTTAGCCATAAAACATGACAAAATATCTCAGAAATGATGACGGATACAAGACGCAACAACCTTGAGGGGCAGCACCGTGGAAACAGCACATTATATAGGCCGGCAGCGTCCCGTCCACACTATTACCAAGCATGTCAACTGGAATATATTTACCAAGAGAGGATCCGTCGGTTAGTTTAGTCATCGTCTTAAAAATGCTAAGCAATCCATCAGGACTAATAAGCTCAGCTCCCTCACATTATTATTTAAGGAGGACTCATAGTAGCCAGAGATGTGCTTCTACTGATAATACCAGGGGAAGGCGAGGCAGTGTATGCAGATGGTGGCGGCGAAGCAGCTCACGTGGACCTTGGCTAACATGCACTGCTGTACGACAATTGTGTACAGATGCATGTCCTTTCCTTCTTGTCAGAATTACGAACTATGCCGGATAACCAGATACCGGATAATGAAGAGGTACTGAGTATGACGGATAACCTGACAACGAATAATGATTATGTTCGTTTTAAGCGGTGTAAGTGAAGGACCGGCGCTGATGTGTACCTGGAGAGGCCAGATGAGTGGATAGCGTGCAAGAGAAAGACTGCCGGATGCTACAGAATCCGGCTAAAAAGGAGGAGAGCCGGATGATTCAGACTGAAAAAGAGGGAACTATGGTGAGGGAAGGCAGAGGAAGGTGAGGGAGGGCAGAGGAGGGTGAGGGAGAGCAGAGGAGGGTGAGGGAGGGCAGAGAAGGGTGAGGGAAGGCAGAGGAGGGTGAGGGAGAGCAGAGGAAGGTAAGGGAGGGATATCCAGAATGGAGGAAAATGAGAAAATAATCCAGAATGAAGGAAGATGAACGAAGATAAGCCAGGATGAAGGAGGGAGGGAGGGGCAGGACGTTGTGACGGCGGGCGGGAGACAGGTCGTGGTTCATGCCAAGGCGGCACCTTTGTTGCTAAAGTGTTATGCGGCACGTGGCTCGCATCCTCATCCCGGGCCCTCTGTTGTGACTGTTTGGTGGTGGTGATGATGATGGTGGTGATGACGATGGTGGTGTTGGTGGTGGTGATGATGATGGTGTTGGTGGTGGTGGTGCTAGTGGTGGTAGTGTTGATGGTGGTGGTGCTAGTGGTGGTAGTGTTGATGGTGGTGGTAGTGTTGATGGTGGTGGTAGTGTTGATGGTGGTGATGTTTATTATTGTCAGGAGTGTTACTGTCATTAGTGTAGGTGGTGTTGTGGTTGTTGTTGTTCCTTGCTGCTGGTTACTGATGCTGGAGGTCTAGGTCGTCTACTACACAGCCTCACAGCCTCCCTCCAGTACGCTAAAATTACTTATACTTTTAACAATTTGATGGACAAGGTTGGAGTATAATCTATTGGTGTTCATGTTTCTTCTCTAGTCACTCCACCTATCTCCTCCTTCCTAACCTGCACCCCTCCAATAATCCCTCCCTCCCTCCCTCTTCTGCACCCCTCCAATGACCCCTCCCTCGACCTCTTCCTCATTCCCCTACTTCCTCAAACCCTCCTTCACCTACCCCCCTCATCTCACAACACCCCATGCTGCCCATCACCTCCCTCACCGGCCCACCCTCCACCTCTCCCTGACACCCCCACACCTCCCTCACACCCTCCCGTCATCACAAGGCCCAACGACCCCTTCAGCGCCTCCTTCGTGTTATTTTATGCCTCATTCACAGACGAATACAAACACTAATTCATTCACAGAAAATCTTACAAAATTTACACAACATCTTATCGCGGCCGTGACAAATAGGGGTGGTGTCCCCTGGAGGAGGAGGGGGAGGGGTGGTAGAAGGGGTGAGGGGTGGGAGATGAGGAGGGGTGAGGGGTGGGAGATGAGGAGGTGTGAGGGGTGGGAGATGAGGAGGGTGAGGAGTGGGAGATGAGGAGGGGTGAGGGGTGGGAGATGAGGAGGGTGAGGGGTGGGAGATGAGGAGGGGAGGGATGGAGGGGAGGGGAAGAGGAGGAGAAGCAAGAGAAGGTGACGGGGAAGGAGGAGAAAGAGGAGGAGCAACAGCAGGAAAAGGGGTTAGAAGTGAGGAGAAAAAAGGAGGGAAGAAAAGGAGGGGGAGAATGAGTGAAAGAGGAGGAGGAGGTGGGTGAGCATACGGAAGTTATATAGACTGGCAGTAAATTAAGAAGACAGACAGACAGACAGACAGACAGACAGACAAACAAAGAAGGAATTTGACCGACTGGTACAATAGAGATTATCATGAACTCACACATTATTATGCCCCGCAGTCAACACGCTTCCCAGTGTACTTTGACATCAACTTGCTAAAATGTGTGTTTGTGTTTTACATAGTTCTGAGAGAGAGAGAAAAAAAAAAAAAAAGAGAGAGAGAGAGGTGCTCTGTATATCCTTTCGCCCTCTGTAGACTCTTTCAAGACCCCAGGAAGGTCTTAGCCTCCTGCAGACACAAAGACCTCACAGACTAAGTCCTTGAAGCCCCTCGAGACCACCAGAGTACCGAGATGGACACAGGTCACGGCTGTTTTCAAGTGGCTCTTCCAGGATGTTGGGATTAATTCTCTTTTATGGAAGACTCGCCCCCCAAGATAAACTGATTTAGGATTTAGGTAATGTAGTGGGAGGAAGAGCGTGGTACGGGACGCGTCTGGGTAGTGGTGACTGATACGTGAGAGGGAGAACGATGGATTATTTAGGGTGGACGCAAGATGTGACTAACTGTGTGACTATTATCAGAATCTTCAGCAAATACAAGTTTAATTTTCCGGTGGTAGGAGGTGACGTTAGTATACATCATTACTACCACCATCGACGCCCGCCCACCCGTCCAGTACACCTTAACACCAGAAGACAGAGCTATGCCACGAGAATGATAAAAGCTCATTTCCATAACTATTAAACGTTAACAAACTAGATCTTATCAACGACAGCTGTTACATCCACTACACTAAAAGTTGTTGGTATCGGGTCGTTTTCCCCTTGGCTGGCCACAAAGATTCTATCAGAGTTGAAAATCGCCTCTCCCAACCTGTTTATCATCACCCATACCAACATTACTCACATTTTACCATCATTATGTATCCATCATCTCTCCTCTCAGTCACACGTGTACCTCTCTCTTAATGACAGGTAAAATCTCATAACAAAGGACATAAAGGAGAGAGAGAGAGAGAGAGAGAGAGAGAGAGAGAGAGAGACGCCTTTCCACCAGTACCTGCAGAACCTAACTTAATCCTTCTTAGCATAAAGTGACTCTTGTTATCTCTTGTAGTTGTTCCTTGTGTGTGTGTGTGTGTGTGTGTGTGTGTAATAGTATTTTTCAGACCACGATGGTGGTTGATAGTGGTAGCTGGGGTTACGATAATTGTTTACGTTGGAAGATGGAGGTTAATTCTTTGTCGAGATTGTGGTTACCTAGAAATGATAGTTGTAGTAGATGATGAATGTTGATAGTTGTAGGAGTTGAGGATGGAGAGGAGTAGGGGAGGGGAGAGGGAAAAACTTACATCTACAGCCACCATCCCTTCCCCCTCCTCCTCCTACCACGTCTTCCTCTTCCCCCTCCTACCCCTACCACAGCTGAGGACCTACCCAACACCGCCAATTCATTACCGCTACAAGACACTACAAGACACTACAGCGCTCGCCCTCGCCCCCATAACAAATATGAGCACTTTTATCGCAATATAAATCACAGGGAGCGGAGGGCGTTAAGGAGGGCGAGGAAGGGCGGTAATGAGAAACACAGGTAAGAGGGGCTGGCTATAGCTCCTCCACAGTCATGTCTACAAACGCGAGGGGCATCAGTGTCTCGCCTCAAGAACTACCCGTTTGTGGGGAGAAAAAAGGTAAAACACTGAGACCACCTGAAGATTAGACACCCCAGCGTATTTTAGCTGTTGATTAATCCTTTTTACGCTAACCTAACCTAACCTACTAACCTAACCTAACCTAACCTAACCTAACCAAACCTAAATTAATCTAACCTAAATTAACCTATCTAAATTAACCTAACCTAATCTAACCTAGGTAACATTAGGGTGGTTAATCTTCAAGTGAAATATGTTGGGATTCCTAATATTCAGGTGATACAAAAGTTGAAGTGTAAAGAATAAGAATTAGTTACTCAGTGACATATTCCTCACATGAACCATCTATAAAATTATTTGGTAACTCAATATAAATACTTCTACTGAACTCTGACAGAAAAAGTCTCTCAGTCTGTTAGTTAGTTAGAAAGAATTTTTTTTTATAAGGAAACAAGACGATGGATGTTATCTATTTTTTTTGTTTTTCGGTGTTAACATTAGATTCTCTATCACTCTCCTTCCTTTCTCCTTCCTCTTTCTTTCTCTCTCCTACGTTCCCTCTCTTCTCCCTCCTCTTCTTCTTTTTTCTCCCCCCCCCCTTCCCTCTACCTCCCCATCTGTCTGTCCTCCTCTCTTTTCTCCTCCCTACCTTATCTTTCTCCTCCTCTCAATTTCTGTGTGTGTGGGTGGAAGAGGAAGGGAGGAGGGTGCTCATTATACTAAACGATGGACGTAATATATCATGTCTGTTGTGATCCAGGGGTCGTGACGTCAACATCCTGCACGCACACACACACACACACACACACACACACACACACACACCACCTCTTCTCTCCCTGTCCTACCCATCCTGT